GTATTTTATTTTTCTTTTATTTTCATTACATACAAATATATTATAGTGGTTCGTACCATATATAGCAGGTAAAATAAACACACCTATGCATTTCTTACATTAGATTGTGTATTAAAAACAATTCCCATGACTGATGTTCTTAGGAAGTTGTTAAAAAATATTGTAGCAACAAAAGTACTCAGTACAAGCAAGCGAACAAGCAACCAAGTTATAGTAAGTTAAAATTATTATTAAAGTTAACAGTTAAAGAGAAAACAACAAAAAATATTAATACTCGTAACATTGAGAGAAAAATTTTTATTATATTTTATTTTACCACCCGCTTACCAAAAAAATAAAATGAAAAACTGATTGTTAAAACCACCCAAGTTCCCTTGCAAATATTAAAGCTCAAATAAATTAGAAAAGTTAAAAAGCATATTTTAATGTTTTTTTTCTCTTGTATGGATCTCGAACCATAAAAATCATTAGAGTACTTTTAAGTAAATAATTTTCATTTCAGTATTGTGTTGCTCTTATTATTTTGATTTTGAATAAATACCATGTTATATAGATACATACATACATATACCTGAATATTTGTATAGATTTTTTATTATTTTCTCTGTGCTCATTTTAATTTTTTTCCATAATGAAAATGACAATAAAATAAAAAAAAACAACAAAATAGCAATAAAAGAGAACACGAATACAAGAATAAATTAAACTTATATTTGAAAAGTTTGAGAAAAAAATTTCCGAAAGTTGGTGAGCCGCGTGGGAGAGAGGAGTCGAAGGAAAGAGGAGGTTGAGAAGTGACGCCGTCATGGAGTGAGGAGCCGTTGAATCCAGGAATTTTTACCTACTTCTAAATATCCTGTAGCAATGTAGAAGCTTTACGATTGAAATGAATGATAAATAAAAATGAAAAAAAGCTTCACAAAACCTTGGTTCAAGTGTGGGTTACGCTGCCTGATCTAAAATCGAGTTTGGTCCTCTATTAGGTTTATATGGTATCTGAATATATGCGAACTTTATTCTCACAAAATAGTTCGACGCTATTGACGTTCTAATTGACTCAGATGACATGTAATGCGGTCTGCAGCGATCTAACCATGCTTGATATCAGTAACTAGAGTTAGTCATCAGTTTTTGGATATCAGGGGAAAAAACAATGTTTCTCTGGTACATCTAAGCGCCGTATAGCAGCATACATCAGGGATGGTATGTCCCCAGAGGAAGCTCGCAGATATTAGAAGGGAAAGCTCCTTCCCTTATATAGAGGGAGCTTTTGACAACACTCCATATCATGTCATTTATGAGTTGAAAAACGTTGCACAAACGAGGGATTGATGCGACGACGAGCAGATGGGTCAATCGGATGCTACAGAATAGGATTATTAAGTCCACCATAGCTGACGATACACTTTTCTTCTCCACTACGTGGAGATGAAAAGTGCTACTACCGCGGCACGTGTCTGGGGTTACGCCGATGATGTGGCCTTCGTCATACGGGGCAATTTTGGGAGCACTATTTCTGATCTTCTACAGCAAAATTTACGTGTTGTGGAAAGGTGGTGAGAAGGCGTTTAGTTAAATATAAATCTCATCAAGAGCACTTTGGTTGCCTTCACCAGAAGCAGGGATAAATTAACGAGCCAATTCTGTTTCGTGAACGTATTAGTTACTCTAGGAAGGTGAAGTATCTGAGGGTAACCCTGGATGGTCGCCTCTCCTGGAATACCCATATCGGGAGGGCTACGGCGGCCTTATGGACGTGTAGGAGCTTCATCTGTGGAACCTGGGGGGTCAGTCCCAGGATAGCACTGTGACTATATACGGCCCTTGCTAGGCCCATCGTCACCTACGCGTCGATTGTATGGTGCCGTAAGGCAGAGCAAGCGGGTGTGCGGGCCAAGCTGGAAAGGCTGCAGAGACTGGGCGGCTGGGAGTGACCGGGGCAATGCGGACGGCTCCTACCGTTGCGTTGGAGGTGATGATTGGGTTGCCACCACTACACTTTCATATAATGAAGGAAACTCGGCTAGTGACTTACCAACTTCTTTCTGGCGAGGACAAGGAGAAAGATGGCCCACAGGACTCACAGAGACTTCGGTGAGAGCGATCCGATTCTAAGAATAACCATGTCGGATGCCTGCCTGCCGCGGTACAACTTCGTCCGCAAGTACAGGGTTCTGCTTTTCGATCGATGGACGTGGGATCGGGGTGGCCCAATACTTGAGTCGAGTTAGAGCGTGCGGTGTGCAAACAGGTCCAAAACGGAGTCGGGTGTAGGTTCGGGTATATATGGTGTCCGCCCGCAAGGGCCGTATATGCGACCCTTGACACGTATTGCACGGTGTTCGAAGCAGAAATACATGCAAGAGAAATCTGTCTGAGAGTTAATTTAGAAAGGGGGTATAAAAACTGTACCATCTATGTGTTTTTGGACAGCAGGGCGCTGTTTTGTTGGCGCTTCATTCGGCTCAAATTAAAACCAAGCTGGTATAGGCTCGCCTGCCTGTTCGTGGCGGAATGCGGCCTACACGGTCGAGGTACGAATGGGTGTTGTCATGCGAAGGTGTTTCTTTCGGCGTGCTCCAGCGGTTTTACTTTTTACAAAAATATTGTAAGAATATTTCCAAAATATAGAACAGAAATGATTTTTTAAATGTTTTATAAGAAAACAATTCTTCCACCAAACTTGTTTCTAATCTAAATTCGATTCCTTTTTGAAAAGTTTTTAAATATTATACATGAAATTCATTTTAAACTTATTATTTCCAATTTCGTATATCTACCTTTTTCAATATTATCAGTTTTCTTATTACAAATTCTCTTATTTATACAGCATTTACTATATTTGCACACTCATAAATACATTACCTAAACTTCGTATTTAAAGCACGTCTTTATATTTTAAAATGTACCTACTTAAAAAAAACTAAAAGATACAAATGGCACAAATTGTAAAAAATCATACAAAAATCGAAGAAAATGTAAAAAATTCTTTGGCAATAAAGTTAAGTTGTTTCTATTCTAAGATTCTTTTTAAAACTTTTTGCATACTAAAACTTAAACACTTAAGTTTCACACTTTCAAAATATAAAATTAAATTTGGCACGTACCTATAGTTATGAAACAAACAAGCAACTAAAACAAAAAATCTCAATAAAGAAAATTTTGCTTACTTGACTTGACTGAAAAATTTTTTAATTTTTAAATATCAAAAATTCCAAGTTTTGAAATTGTTTTAAATAAAAAATATCGAGAAAAATATTATTATCGGTCTTTTCTATTGAATGAGTTTTTTAACATTTATATACATTTTAGCACCAAATGATAAAGCATCATATCCGGGGCCTAATGACTACATGCGGACGTAGTCTCTGGGTATTGTATTCGTGCAGGGTATTGAAATTTTGCTCATGTATATGAGGCCGAAAATTACAAGGCATCCTAAATTTAAGTCAAGGTGCAGACGGCGAATGATTTTGATTGTCCAGAGATTGTGGGAGGCCGGAACTGTTGCATTGTACTCCACTGTAATTCTATTACCTATACTAGAATCCGCTTTGATGAATCTTACCTTACCGAATTTTATCTTTTCACAATTTTACAAATATTTTTTTTCCACCGGAAAATTAAGGCTCTTAGGCTATTCTCATGTCAACTTATACGATCTTTTGTGATTCCCATCCCCGCCTACATTAGTAATATATCTAGACCCCTGACAAATTGTTGTATAACGAGACTTCATTTAAACATCATAAAACCCCTTCCGAAGAATCTCAGCTGTATGCAAGCCACCGCCGCGTATTCATACAGTAAGTACTCCATCGTTCCGTCCTTTTCCAGACAGATACGATAAACCCTGCCCTCCGACATGCCTAGCCTTTTCAAACCGACAATCGGCAGGCAGTATTCAGTGAGCTCAGCCACTTATATCCTCCGATCTAGACAATCAAGTGTGGCCAATTCCCACCCCTAAAGGAGTTCCAAGGAAGACATAAATTTTTTGTGCGATTGAAAAGTCCGGGCAATTGTCTACAAATACTTACCATAAATTTATGTTCCAACAAAATACCCAAAAATAAACTAAAGTTAAGTAAAACTTTAAAAATTAAATTTTGTGACAAAAATTAAATTTTTTCATATGATGCGCTGCAATTTCCTATCATTATAAATAATTTAAAAAATAAACAAAAAAACACACAATAATAATGGTAACAACTCTACATTAGTACTTGTAATTACTGTTTCGACACTAATGTACTCGCATAATTTCATGTACTTTTATACTTCATATAACAATTTTGTTTTTTCTGTTTTTGTTTTTCTGTGTTCTATGTAAGAGAATCAGTAGCTCAGTCAGTAAAACTGAGTTAATGCTCTCTTTTCTTTATGTGTAAATTATTTTTGAAATGAAAAGCATAACTTTTATAATTTAATTTTCTTTGTTTTATTTAAATTGTCCTCGTTGTTGTTTTGCTTGTGTTATGTCATGCATGCGTTATACACAAATATCACAATAACATTTTCACATTATAAATGCTATTTACTTGAGTTAGCGTTATATACTTTAGTATAATAAAATAAAAAATTTTACGTAATATTTCGTAGATAATTTTTATGATAACTTTGGCGTCATTTATGTTGCCAATTGTTGTATATTTGTAAAAGTTTTTCCTCCATTTTATTTAAAATGCAAGTATAAATTTAAAATGTAAAAGTTTTCATTTTTTTTTTTTTTTTGTAATATTAAAAGTGAACAATTTTTTATTCGGTAAATATAAAATATTTGACTTCTATTTTTGACTTTTCAAACGAATAATGTTATACCTAAACATATATGTAAATGTAAAGGTATAAAACAGGTAGAAAAAATATTTTTGCAAAATTTAACGTACTTTTATTTACGTATACTTATTTTGGTTGTTAACATTACTTGTAAATAGTTGTGTATATATTAGTATAACAAGTTGTATATATTAGTATAACAGTTGAAAAAATAAACGTACCTGATGTATAAAATGATTTTAGCGAATTAAATTAGAAAACTTTTTTAGAATGAGAATTGCATCTTGCTGTTGTTGTTGTTCTTTTCTATATCTGCAAAATGTAAATAAACAAATTTTAATTATTATAAAATTAATTAGATTTTTATTTTTTGTTATTCAATTTCTGACAATTAAATTAGAGATATCAGAGAAACGACTGAAGAACAGTAAAAAGAATTTTTAAAGTGAAAATGAAATAAATAACACAAGTTTTATTAAACAAAATTAAATTTAATAAAAAAATTTTTGTTATTTTCAAGTTTAGATATTTTATTAGCAAGTAATTGGTTTAAGTTATACGAAAAGAAAATATTTATTTTGATGATGATATACAAAATTTGTTCAAAACTTTATTTTGTTATTTACTCTACATTATTAATTAAAGTTAATGTTATTTTTTTCGTTAGAGTTTGAAAATAAAAATGACAATTTTTAATGGGAATATGCACATCTGAAGCATATTTCATGAAATTGGCAAGCATTTTGCAAATGAGAACGCTCTTTTCCCATCCCAGAGCTCATATAAAATTATAAACATCCTGTTCTGGTTGAGAAAATCGATTGTAATCAGGAGATATTTATGAAACAAACTTTGAACTCTAAGGCTTCGAATTTAAATTTTACAAGAAAAAAATCAATTTACACCTTGATATTTCGAAATCTGTTGGGATTACTGCTTAAGTTACAGAGATTTTATTTATACTTAAGAGTCTAAATAACTGTACGCAGCAGCGCATTCAGAAAGAGAATATAAAAGCGTCAGTCCAAATCCGGAACACATTTCTTCCTTTCAAATCTGTATAAGCTCCTTTTTAACATATTTTCTTATATTTAAAATAATTTAAACTTCAATATTAAAGGATACGACCGTATTAATTCATTAATCTTCTCTTAATCCAAAATCAAATGCTTCCTCTCCTCTCTCTCTTACAATATAATAGAAGGAAACATCTTTAAAAATGAAAACCCCTTAAGTAGAAATTATATAATAATACAATATAATTTAAATTATTTTCCATAAGGGCATAATACAAAAAAAAAAGAAAGAAAAGCGACCATTCTTTTGATTTCAAATTGAATTATGCAAATTTTTTTTTTTTTTTTTTTTTGAAAAACAATATTGCTTCATTTCCGCTTTCTTTCCTTTTTGTTGTTTCTTATTTTCCATCAGTTCACAACAAATTTCTAATATCCTTTATGAATATCCTTTGTTCAAAATTAAAGTAAAAAAATGAGAAAAGAAAACATTGAAAAAAAAAAACAGCGAAAAGAAATTATCAAAAGTAAATTAAGCAAAAATATAAACTTTTCCTCATCAATAGGTGGGATCAATTTAGGAATTTTCCTCTACTTTTACATTCAATCTACTTATATATTGTGTATATTATATATGGTGCTTGGTATATTGGTTGTGCTTTAAGTTGGATGTCCTTTTTTTTTCTCTTTTTGGCAATTGTGACACAATAAATCAATTTTCATTCATTCTATAAACCTGAATATCCTTCAGGTGAAATTTAATTTTCAAAACAAAAATCGATCTATGTATGAGTGTGTGTTTGTGTATATTTTTACACTTTTCAATATATTTTGTTAAATTAATGTATTGAACGGAAAGAAAAGTTAATAATTTTACTAAAAAAAAATTGTATATGTAAGAGTATTTGTGTATTGAATACAGATGTGTAAATTATACAAAATTTTATCTAGAATGCAAAAGAGATGAAAAAAATATTAAATTTCATTTCGGTTAAAGTTGAGAATTTTATTGGTATACCGTTATGTTGGAACACAAACCCGAAAGTACGTAATTAAGTACCGAAACGAAACGATCAACCAATATTGAAAATCTTCTCTTGCAGATCAGCTCTGCATAATCCATAGGGAATTCTTGTGATTTACTCTGCCTTCCCATATATTCATTATTTCAAATAATCAATTTCTTCTCGTATTCCAATTAACTGGCCAATGTTTTGCCACGAAACTGGTAATCATTTCCACAAACTTTCTTATGATGAAACTCTTCTGGATCATAATATTTCGGAGGGTTGTTAAAACATCCGGAAAGTTAGCTTTTTCCGCAATATTATTTTTAATTAAATAAATATGTTCAACACGGAATTCATCGCAAATTCTCAACACATTGTTATTTTAATGGTATATATTGAATTCAACCTATTCCTGACTAAATTTTTTCAAATCTAAAGATTAATAATCAAAAGTATAATCAAACAACTTTGCACAGTTCAAATACTGGACGAATATAAGCAAAAATCCATGAGCACATGATAATGTTGCAATTCGAATTGTGAAGAATTTGATTCGTGATTTTAGATCACTTATTGTAACAAAAATATTAATTTAACAACACTTTAATATGGTCCGATCTCTAATAACAAACTTCCAAAAAAAAAAAAACAGAATGAAAACAGAAAAAAAATAACGAAACAATTTGCATAGGAAATAAATTTTCTAAAGATAAAGAAAAAAATAAAATAAAATAAAGAAGAAAAAATATTCGAAATTTACAATTGACTTCACAGGATAATATGAGAAAGGACTTTACAGTTTTATATATTACTATATATTTGAATATTATGATGTGTGAGTGTATACAATACATATATATACATACATACAATTATACAAATATTTTATTTTTTTTTGTTCATTCCTGACAGGACACATTAATAAAGTAAAGAGAAAAATCGAGATTTACGTTATATTGAAAATATATAAAACAAAATATATGGGTATAAATAACATCATATATTTGTGTATATATACGTATATACTTGTGCAGTATAAGAAGGATACATTTAATTTTTATAGTATATAAAAAAAATATTCTTATAATGAAATATAACCTTCTTGTATAAACTGCTGTTGTTGTTTAAGTTCCATAGGGTGAATATTTCATTTAATACTTTTTTTATAATAAAAAATAAAATAAAAAAAAATCATTAAAAAAAATCAGCAGGTAAAAAAAGCAGGTAAATATTTTTTTCTACCTTAATTTTTTTTGTTATTATTATTTTGATGATTTTTTGTTTAAAATTTATAGTATTATATTTCCTGTTAAATACATTCGAGAAATGTATTGAAATGATAGGAACTAAAAGGAGCAACAGCAATAGAACAAAAAATCAGAAATTCTAAATTTGGAAAACATAATATATATAGGAAGACGGAAGGAAAATTTGAGGAAGAAGAAAGAAGATGTATAAAAGGGATTCAAAATAAAAAAACAAGAAACACAATCGTTAATATGGGTGTTAAGAAAACTGGATGACTTTTAAATTTAAATAATACTAATGCATACGCCATATATCCCATATATACCGTATATATACCATATATATACCGTATATATATCGTATATACCGTATATATATCCCATATATACCATGATTATAATGTATATATACCGTATATACCGTATATATATCCCATATATACCATGATTATAATGTATATATACCGTATATACCGTATATATATCCCATATATATCGTATATATACCATATATATACCGGCTATATATACATTGTGTTTGGTACCATCGTATATATACCATATATATACCGGGTATATATGCTATCAATTACGAGCCCCTCATGTTAATTTCTGCATGTATATATAAATCTTAAAATGCATTGTACTCGTAATATATTCAGATTCGGTACGGTGACTTAAGGTTAATTTCTTGCACAATAAAAAAATATTACCCACACATATATACCATAATTTACAGGAAAGGGAAGAAGTGCTTATATTTGAACTTAGTTTTACAAAATATTCTTTCTAGATTGGTAGTTGGTACATGACCATAATATATGAGTAATATACTCTTCATTTGTAATAAATAATAGAAAACCAATTGTTATATACAATTATAGTAAAAAAATTAATATATATGTATGTTTGTGGCACACGTATTTATTCTATATATAGAAAAAAGTCAAAATAGAGTCAGAGACTTTAGGGAAATTATAAATGAATGAAATAGTAGCTAAAAAGTTATTATATACGGTTTGGAACTGTTATATTGTTATATGTATAACAGTTCCAAAGGCTATAAGCAAAAAAAAAAATGTTGATAAATAAAAAACATACTTAGAATGATGAGTTTTCAGATTTCTTATGAGATTTCCATTTTCTTTCTGCTTTTTTCCTTTCATTAAATTTTTTTATATTTAATGTATGCTTTTGTTGAGGAAAAAAATAATAATATTAAAAAATCAAAACAGGAAAAAAAAATTATTTTAAAGGCAAAATGAGAAAACGACTGAACAAGAAAATGAAAATACGAGTTTAACTTTTTAATAATTCTGAATTATATACACACAAACAACTATGATATATACACAAGTAGATATTATAATATACGCCTATTTTTCACAAATATACTTATTTTCCTAATATTATATTAAAAGAGTGCCTATTTCTCTTATACCTTGAATGACAGGATAATATTTCAAATGAAGTCTTATGGAAATAATAAGAATTAAAATAAAAATACAGTAAATTCAATTTAATTTGTTATACAAGGTGTTTTCTGGCATTTACCAATTATTTAAGACAAAAATTTTGTTCATTGAAGTTTACTCTTCTCTGCTCCAAATCATGGAATTCCACATGTATAAGTTTTGTGAAAATGGCACCGAATATTACCCACAATCATGATCATGCCAGACAATTAATGCAAGACTGTGGAGTTTCATGATTCGGAACGTTGAATCCCTTCGGAGCTATCCACTGATTTATTGGAAAGTTGTCTTGCGAAACTCTTTGAACTGGTTAAGCGCATTGAGCTTTTAAAGTGCAGAAATAGGATGTCAAAATTTTTGTGATTCCCAGAACATGAAGAAATAGGACGGACGGCCGATGCATTGGAAAAGCCCTGATTTCAGAAAACTAAAAAAAATGGTGGTGATGAAGTCTTTATTAAAAATAAATTGAGAGTTTTCAATGGATTCATGTAGAAACAATTCACACTTGAATAACACGTTAGAAAGCTTGATCAAAATAGTTGAAGTAATTGCAGTTTGCTT